AACTTTCGACTCCGGGGTTGGTTCCACCTGCTATAGACTGAAATGCACAAAAACAAGACAAAACCCAGCGTAAAACCACACCTCGGAGTAAAAATCATAACGGCTAAGGAAACCGGGGGTAAAAAGTATACCATTAAGCACAAATCACTCCCCCATACTTAGACGTTTGCTTGTCCCCAAGCAAACCATTTTCAACCAAGGTGATATCTCAACCTAACAAAATAACTTGGAAAAAAATCAAAAGGCACAAAGTGGTGAATCTCAATGGATATTGGGCATCAACACATGAACCGCTACAAGCAATACATGCATCCACCACAAACGATATTAGAATGCATCAAGAATGTGCAAATGAAAAGTTCTCACCCTGTTCAAAAATCAAAACAATTCTCGACCGGACTACTCACCAACCACAACTAACAATGCATAGAATTACCTAAACTTATTTGCCTAATTTCCTATCTCTCTCTCTCTTCCCTGCTCTCTGCCGAAACCCTCTTCTTCCTCTCCTTTGGTTGCCGCGCGGCCAGCCTCTTCCTTCCCTCTTCTTCTTCTTCGATCAACCCCCAAATCCACCTCTCTTCACATTTCTAAAGTCACCGGATCAATCCCTAGATGATCCTCTCATCCAAACCCCTAGATAGCACTCGGATTATCGAGTTCTATCAAAATAGCTTTCAATTTCACGTTGTAAATAATCCAAAAATTAGTTGAATGAAAATTACTGCTTTGTGAGAATTGTATTCTTTGAGAGTTCTCAAGAATCAAATCCTTGAGTTAGTTTTGTGTGAATTCCATTGCTAATTCGAGAACCCTTGTCAAGCTTTTCTGTGAGGAGTCTAGAATCGTTTAACAAGCTTCTTATCAATCAAGTAAACACCTTGATTGTGGAGAAGTTCTACCTATCAGTTTTATCTTTCGTTGAAGAGTTTTGAGTTGCGTTCCTTTGATTAAAAAAGCACCCCCTGAGTGTTTATCAATACTTTGTAATTTGGCCTAGAGCCGGGTTTGACCGTCAAATTGGACGGTCAACTCCGTTGACTGTTAATCAATAGTTATCTCACTTGCCACATCACCGAGCACGAAATAAAAAAATTGTTTTTTGAATTTCTATATCTATTTTCCTTTCTAATAATAATAATAAAATGGAAAAAAAAAATCAAAACCCCAATTTATCCCCATTCCCCTCCCCTCTGGCCCTCTCACCTCAATCGGTGGAAAACCATTTCCGAAAGATGATGACCATAGTGTTGCATTTGTGATTGCCAGGGACGGAACCGCCGCTGTCGACCCCTGCCAACACGACAGCGGCCGCAATCGTCTCCGCTTAATTCACATCACCACAACCCGCGCTGCACTTTCGGCAAAAGAACTGTTTTGCCCAAAATCTCCTGCTAATTCCAAGCGCCTGGTGCGGCCCGAACACCTTCTTGCAACTTGCACACTCGAACCGACTCGAATCATCTTCTCTGCCTTCTTGATTGTGATCGTGGAAAGGCACAATTGCGCCGAAAAATTCGCCTCCTTCGACGGCGGCTGCTCTGTTTTCCCAATTTCGCTCTACAGCTGTTGAAACAAGGGATTGTTGAATGCGAGCGACGGAGACAGCGACGGTGAAATTGGCCAAAGTAAGCAATCAGCGACCTCGTGATCCACTGCGGTCATCATCATCGTTATCTGTGAGTCCCCACGCACCCCCCAATGTGGCTGTCGTGAAGGTGCGGCAGCAGCCGTGAGGGAGGGCAAATCACCAGGGGAGGCTGAGGCGTAGAGCGGCGGCGGTGATTAGAGGAGGGAGGCAATAAATTAGGGTTTGGGAAATTGTTTTTCAAGAGGGGAGGGGATAAATTGGGGTTATTTATGTTTATTATTATTATTATTAGAAAAGAAAAATGAATATAAAATTCGATAAATAATATTTTTTATTTTAGGCTCGCTGACGTGGCAAATGAGCTGGCCATTGACTAATGGTCAACGGAGTTGACGGTCCAATTTAACGGTCAAACCCAGCTCCTGGCCAAGTTAGGAAGTATGATACATAGTTCAGGTTAGGATAGCAATTTCGGAAATCACGGGCCAAAGTAGAAAGTTTGTGTATAATTCGGGTCAAACTAAGGTATTAACCCATTTTGTTAATATCATTAATTTTAATTATATTCCATCTTTGTCCTTGTAGGTAGTTAGTCAATGATTGGTAGCAATTATCTCTCTCCTCTTTCTATTGGTTGGAATAGATTTATGAGTCTCCTTAAGGAAGGGGTTGAAGGACCTTATCTAACCCGGAGTAGGATTGACTTCTTGAACATATTATTTAGGGTAATGTCTATTGCTACTCCAAACCTTTTTTCATATTCTTTTATATATCCAAACCTATTAAAAATGCTATTAATTAGCCAAATCTTTCATAATGCATCAAAATATTAGCCATTTTTGGAATGTTGACCTTCATGTGTTTCTTCCAAGTCAGTATAATGTTGCCAATTCAATATTACTAACAAATTTGCTAACTAAAAGTTAACATTTAACTAATTCTTAGTATTTCGATAGATTTGATTAATAAAAAAAATCCAAAAAAAATTACTAATAAATAGTGATTACCCTACCTATTATTTATTTTCTCTCGTTTTAGTAGCATCTTACAAATATCGTGAAAAAGAAAATGGTTATAGGTTGGTGAACGAAGACAAAAAAGCCTTTTCATCATATCAAACCAATATAATCCAACGATACCATCTTTGTTTTGCACCTGCACCAAAACATTTCCCACCGAATATTATAAGTTAAGAAAGTAGAATGAAGGTTGAGTATTTAAAGTTAGATGTGGAGTGTCAATTATTAGCCGTCACTGACATTTAATTCAACATTGAATCGATATATTATTTAAGGGTAAATATAATATAATATTCAAACTTTTTCGAAAATAATTTAATAGTCAAATGGTTAACTTTCCGTCCGGTCAACCGTTAGTTGACAATGACGTGACCAATACATGTTACATTGCAAAAAGTCAATAATTTGACTGGTCCACATAGATATATATTAATTTTTATTACTAATAAATAATAACATTAAAAAAACCTACTCTTATCCCTTTCCCTCCCTATTCTCCATCAAAGAACGCTGATCCCATCTCGACTGTCAGGACAAAACCGGCGGTGAAAAATGACAGATGATGAGAGTACTGGTGTATTCCCCTTCATGTTTTTACGGCAACCTGTTTCTTCCTCGCTGATGATAGATGATGAGAGTAGTGGTGTATTGTTTGATTGTTAGTGTAGCTGCTTCATGGCGTTTCAGTGTGTAAAGATAATTAGCGCTAGGGTTTGGTTGGGCTTGTTATTGGTTGTGGGAGTTGGGTGTACTTTAATTTGATCTATGTTTCTTTCTTCTAACCTTCTTTAATTGATTGAATCTGGTCCATTGTATTAATGAGTTCCACTTCCCTGTCAAGTGGCAATCATCCAATCCAAGTACCAAACCTAGCGAGCGAGCTACCAACGTACCACATCCACATGCATGCATTTAGATCATCATCTACCTTTTCATGCGAACGAGCATCGTCTATCTGTCCAATGACAATATTACCATTTAGATCAAAGGGGTAAGTTAATTAGTTTCAATCTGCCGTCTAATTTAGTAACGCAATTTTCGTTTTACTACAAATCCAATGATGGTCCATCGAACTACGAGATACGTGGATGTACATACGTCCAAGTATGTATTGCACAAGGTCAATGAGGCAATACATGCATAGATTGGTGAAGAGATTGAATTCATATTATCCTCTGTTTTCTATTATTATCGTTTTGGGGAGTTTGATACAAGAAGAATGAATTTCATATGAACCCCATGACGTGTTCAATTTTGGGCCAACCAGAATTTGAGGCTGTTAGGAGCAGAAGGTGGCCCTATTGATGTCGTGACGGTAATGGCACATATATAAAATGTAATCCCCGCGCCGCATTCGTTTGCCCAAAAGAGAAATTACGTACAAAAACGTATCCTAGCTAGCTAGTGGTGCCGACGATCGGGACGGAATATTCTCCTCGAGCTGATGCTGATGTGACTTATTATCGACTTTCGTTTATGCCTAAATTACTTTAATTTTGATAAAAATTATTTATGATTTTATTTTTATTACCTCATATTTATTTATAGTGAAGTTATATAAATAAGTGAAACCTTCGTTTTCTCGAATAATTTAATTATATTTATTATATTATAGTTTGTTTCTTGATTTTTAGTAAAAACGGAATGTTTCTCATTTTTTTTTTTTTTTAAATTACATATCCCTATTAATCGACCTACCCGACCCGTACTCCCTGGCAAATTACCCAACATGTTCTTAATGGCAAAGAAAAATAACATCGAAGTTCATAACCTTTGAAACATATATATCACATCAATGAGTCAGATAAACCCGAAAGAGAGGATTCATCATATAGCTATAGAGTACGTGCTCAATATATTGAACGCCAACAGGTAGCACTTCCTAAACACATAAAATCATTCTGACCTCCCTTTGAAGTTAGAAAATGATGAGTAGGCAAGAATGGTTTGGGTAATAAGCATATATATGTTGACGGTACGAAGCAATTAGTAGATAATTGACAGTAACAACTTAGTCGATCCAACATGTATTTTTACACAGAGTTTACTTGTTCGTATATATATCCTATTTTTTTCGAATCATGATTTTGTCCTTAGTTTATAGAATTTAAACTTAAACAAATGTGGTCACACCAATAATATTTCCCCCATAAATATATCTAAATAATGCATTTGAGATTGCCAAGGCATATGCATCTCTCGTGTTATGCTTCTCTAAAAATTAGGTTAGTAGATGTGACGCACCCATTTAATAATCTTGTCCCACATGCCAAATTGCAACATAAAAACGTTCCTAGTAAAATAAAAATATAATCTCTGTGATCGTCATCTTTGCAAGACAATGTAACATATAAATTTCTTGAATATTCATGAGGACGGTAATTATATATATTCAGCATCAACCAATGGTATGGTCCCATTATAAAAACAAAGTAAAAAAAAGAAATAGAAGGAAAATCTTGACAGTCAATTCTCCATTTGCCAACGTACCCTCTTTATACATACGGCCACGCCACACCTTTTCTCATCATCAACAAACATACTCCAAAACCAACAGTACCTTGATCTTCTCCAATATTTCTCTGGCCTGGCCTCCTCCTTCCCCACTCCAAATTGTTGCCGTTGTTGTTGTTGTTGCTGTATGCCTGTATCGCTGAGGCATGCAGAGCATCATTGATGCCTTGAGCGCCGGCCACGACGACAATGGCGGGCAGATCAATATTGCAAAGAGGGAAATCAAAGGCACCGTGGTGCTGATGAAGAAGAACGTGCTGGAGTTCAATGACTTCAACGCTTCGATCGTTGACCGTTTCGACGAGCTCTTAGGGCGGGGAGTTTCCCTGCAACTCATCAGCTCCGTTCATGGCGATCCTCGTAAGTCTTTCTCGACCAAAGCATTTTCCTTCATCCACCACCTTTGAGAAGAGAAGAGAAGAGAGACCATTAATGCTGTGGCTGTGGGCGGGCGACATCAATGGTAGTAGTACAGCTTTTTACTCGAATGACAATTCGTTTGGTCTATTTTGATTGACAAGGACATGGGTACTCTCTTCAATGTTGGATCGGATCGGATCGGATCGGATGTATCCGCCTAATTTTCAACTATCTTTGTTTAAATTATATGTTATATTACTTAAATTACTTGGAGTTTTAATTTTTTTTAACCTTATATTTCAAGTATCCTGCTGAAGTTGTAAAATGTGAGAATCTTAACTTCTAAAATAATCTACATACATGATACTATCTTTTATTTTATATTGAAAAAATGAATATTTATAATATCATTTTTTAATTACATACATATATTGGTCGACCTGCTTCGGCCGACACCCACGATAAATTATCCGGCGTGAACTTAATCTGCCATGGAGCAAACATGATTGTTAAATACTACCCGAACCTGCCCCTCAACATTCCTACTTTATAGGTGTCATTTGGAACCTCTGATTCCATATGTATTTTCAGTATACATGTATTCTGAGAATACAACGTTTTTTGACTTGATGTAATAACCGAATGCATGTATTCATAATCCATATTGTATTCCTAATACATAGAAAAAGATGTATTCATAATCTTACATTTTTTATGAGATTTTAGTATCTATAGTTCATTTAAACTATAATCCATGCATTCTTTTATAAGTTCCAAACAATGAATTTTCAAAACCACACATTCTTAGTATACACATAATCTTTAATACACAAATTGTCGTAATACATCATTTCCAAAATCGAAGGTTCCAAAGGATATATATGAATCTTCTTCCTTCCGTTTCCTTTTCTTTTTTCTATGATCCATCGAGTTTGGTGGGATTATTAAGATTTGGTACCTACCAACTACGTACGTTAATTGTTTGACTGCGAGCTAGCTTCATGTGACTTCCATCTTCAAAGCCATAGAATATATCGATCGACCAGTTGAATCTCTTGCTACTCTTCTTAAGCAACCAAAAAAAACAATACGAGCAAGTTGGGTTGTGATGATATCATCGTTACAGTGATATTTAATATTTTTGTAATCAAGTTGATCCCGGTTGGGAAGCCAAGCCATGCATTAATAAAATGCCGTAGAGGATGTCGGCCGGAGAAGGGAAGGGTGGATTGGTCAGAGTACATCGGATTAACGTGGACGATTGGGTTGTAAATTGTAATCACTAAGTCACAAAACAATTATTATCAGATTATTAAAAGGGTGATTACGTGTTATAGGCTTTTTTTTTACCAGTCAAGAATGGACTAAATTAATTAGTAGATCGAGTTCTTACCAGGCTAACGAGTACCTGTTCCGTGCAGAGAATGGCAACAAGGGCAAGCTTGGGAAGGCAGCATACTTGGAGAACTGGATCCCGACAATCGCTCCATTAAAAACCGGCGAAACAGCCTACGACGTCACCTTCGAGTGGGAAGAAGAAGAGATCGGGGTTCCAGGAGGGTTTGTAATCAAGAACAATCACCACAACGAGTTCTTCTTAAAGTCTCTCACACTCGAAGATGTTCCTGGGGAAGGCAGGATCCACTTCCCCTGCAACTCCTGGGTTTACCCTGCCAAGCGCTACGCCAAAGATCGAGTTTTCTTCACTAACAAGGTTCGCATAACCGTTGCCTCATGTTCGTGTTTGTGTTAGGTTAAATGACTCCATGGTTTGCTCAATTGTAAGATGTACAACTCAACTGAACTGAACTGAACTAATCCTTTTTCTTGTTGTGGTGAATGGTCGCTAAACTTTAGTAATGTTGCCTCTGATATGATCATGCACGGTGACATTTGTTCCCCTGATGTTTTTCGCCAATAGTCGTATCTGCCACATGAGATGCCATTGCCATTGGTGAAGTACAGAGAGGAAGAGCTGGTTGCCTTGAGAGGAAATGGACAAGGGGAGCTCCGAGAGTGGGACAGAGTGTATGATTATGCTTGCTACAATGATTTATGGGATCCTGATGATGGCGATGCAGACAATGCCAGACCAACTCTGGGAGGATCGGCTGAGTACCCTTATCCTCGTAGGGTAAGGACTGGCAGGCCGCCATCCAAATCAGGTCAACCTTATTTCCAACAGAATGCAACATATGTGTTCACCAGCACAAGTGACTTTGATGCATGAAAAGTATCTATTTACTGTCCTATTTACATTTCATTTTCATTTCTAAGCAGATCCCAAGGTAGAGAGTAGGCTACCACTATTGATGAGTCTAGACATATACGTCCCAAGAGACGAGAGATTTGGTCACCTGAAGATGTCCGATTTCCTTCTTAACGGGCTCAAAGCCATCGTTCAAATTGTGAAGCCTGAACTGGAGGCTCTGTGCTCTGAGGATGGCAATGAATTTGATTCCTTCGATGATGCTTTGAAGCTATACGATGGAGGGGTGAAGCTCCCTCGAGGTCCCACACTCGATAACCTCTGGAAGGATATTCCTTTAGATATCATCAACCTGATTTTCCATACTGATGGGGAAAGGATTCTGAAATACCCTTTGCCAGAAGTGATCAAAGGTACGGTACATATAGGAGTACTGTATGTGTGTATAATGTGGCAATGGAGATTTATCGATGTATAAGTTTGGAACTCACGTTTATTTCTTGTTTGTGTTGATGACAATCTTTGAGCAGAGAGTAGGACTGCTTGGAGAACTGATGAAGAATTTGCGAGGGAAATGCTGGCTGGGCTTAATCCTGTTGTCATTAGTATTCTTCAAGAGTTCCCACCGAGGAGCAAGCTGGATGCTAAAGTCTATGGCAATCAGGACAGTTCAATTAGTGAAGAACACCTAAGGCATCACCTGAATGGATTGACTGTAGCTGAGGTAAAGAATCTCTTTCGCTTTGTAAATATGGCTCGACCATTCCAATCCCTTCCATCTAGATGAATGAATTTATAGAATTTTCCATTACCCACAGCTTGATGGACTCGTAATCTGACTAACCTGTAATCTAGTAGAATCATAATCCGACTACATTCAATGATTTGAGACCAGATTGATCCACCCTAAATTTCAACCAACATGCTCACCAGATCCCCTTAACATATAGAACCATCCAAACATGGTCCAACTCCATTAACCGAACCCCGGACATGTAATCCAATCACAAAGCACAATTGACTTGCAGCCAAAAAGCCTAATAGACCAATAATTTGATATATCCCACTGCCTGATCAACTCCGCTCAGCCCATCCCAAATTGCCCATTTGAGACTTCTACAAATTTTTTCCACATGTTGATGAACTGAAGTATATGTTGCATTTGGCTCTTCAGGCAATCAAGACCAACAAGCTATTCATACTAGATCACCACGACACAATAATGCCATACCTACGGAGGATTAACGACAACACCACCTCCAAAGCCTATGCAACAAGAACAATCCTATACCTGCAAAATGATGACACATTGAAGCCAATGGCGATCGAGTTGAGCTTGCCACATCCCGACGGAGACCAGTTGGGAGCCATTAACAAAGTCTACACTCCACCACCTGCAGATCATAAGGAGGAGGGCAGCCTCGAAGAAATCATTTGGCAGTTGGCCAAAGCATATGTAGCAGTAAACGATTCCGGCTACCACGAGCTCATCAGTCACTTCTTGCACACTCATGCCGTGATCGAGCCGTTTGTCATTGCCACAAACAGGCAGCTCAGCGTAGTTCACCCGATCTTCAAGCTTCTCCACCCTCATTTTCGAGATACCATGAACATAAACGCGCTTGGGAGACAGGTCCTCATCAATGGAGGAGGACTGATGGAGTTCACGCTCTACCCTGCCAAGTACTGCATGGAATTCTCTTCGTCGCTGTATAAACACTGGAACTTCACTGAGCAAGCCCTCCCTCAGGATCTCAAGAAGAGGTAAATTAATAACGAATGAAAATGACATATGACAATTACCAAGTTTTGACTTTTGAGCTCATTCAGGCATTTCATCGAACAACTTGCAGGGGAATGGCGGTTCCTGACCCAGTGTCCAAACACGGTCTCCGACTTCTTATCAAAGACTACCCATACGCCGTTGACGGGCTCGACATCTGGTCAGCGATCAGAAACTGGGTAGCCAATTACACATCATTGTACTACAAAACCGACGATGCGATTCGGAGTGATGTCGAGCTCCAAACGTGGTGGAAAGAACTCGTGGAGGTCGGCCATGCGGACAAGAGAGACGAGCCCTGGTGGCCCAAGATGCGTAATCGAGACGAACTCATCGAATCGTGCACGACTGTGATCTGGATCGCGTCGGCGCTCCATGCAGCCACCAATTTTGGGCAGTACACTTATGCCGGCTACATGCCGAATCGCCCCACCATCAGCCGGCGGTTCATGCCGGAGGAAGGAACGCTGGAATTCGAGGAGATGCGGGAGAACCCAGATAGGGCTTTCTTGAGGACGATCACGGCGAGGCTCCAGACGCTTTTGGGGATCTCGCTGATTGAACTTCTATCGACGCATTCTTCGGATGAGTTTTACCTAGGTCAGCGGGACACGGCGGGGTGGACGGCAGAATTGGAGGCGGCGGCGGCATTCGAGAGGTTTGGGAAGGCATTGACGGAGGTTGAGGAGAGGATTGTGGAGAGGAACGGAGAGGAGAATCTGAGGAATCGGTATGGAGCAGTAAAGATACCATACACTCTGTTGTTTCCGACGAGCGAGGTTGGCCGGACCGGCAAGGGGATTCCGAATAGTATTACTATTTAAAAATTGGTTATTGAATGACGCGGAATTAATGGCTTTGAGTTGGTGGTAAATTTATGCGTGTTGTGTCTTGTGTGAATCATGTTAAATGTCTCAAGGTTACTTCTTTTTTTTTTTTTTAAGGGAAAATGTCTCAAGGTTACTTGAGTTCATTGTTAGTTGTTACCCCATTGAACAAGCTCTTTAATCATATATCATTATAATAGGGTGCGAACTTAATGTAATTTGTCTTGTTGATCTATATATCATTATAATAAGGTGTGCAGATTTTCATACACAAACTTCTTTCAAAAATGTGTATATATATTATGCTATTTTCAAGACTCTTAAAAACAATTGAATATGAGTTTATTGTTATTTTGTATGTTCTTATATCGTTAAAAATTTTGTTTAAAATTTTCCTTGTATACTTTACCAAGACTTAGTCAAGTCAACTTTAAATAGTTGGCCAAATGGTAAAATTGGATGAGAATATCCACCATACTCTCTGGGTTCAAACTTTGAGTATACAATCAACAGAAGAAAAAAAACTAAATTAAATATAAATGAAACAAACATGTTATCAGTATGAAACTCTAAAGAAAATTATATGAGGTTTGTTTGTTCGAAGAATCTAATTACAAAATAAAACAGAAGTAAGAGATACCACTTCATCAAGATAAGTAAGTTTATATTGAAAGGAAAAGAGATGCAAACCGATGATGGTTGGGTTGCCTCCCACCAAGCGCTTCTTTAATGTCGTGAGCCGGACGATTGCTCTTCAAATTTCGGTCCACCGAAGAACCTCCTTGAAGTTGAGGTTCTTGTCGGTGATGTGATGTCTCAAGTCACGAGCATTGGACGAGTCCATGATTGAGGGCTCGTGAACTTGAGTGACTTTGAGGCTCCACTCACGAGACCTCTCCTTCTTCCTTCTTCTCTTTGCCCCACGCCATATAATGCAAACTCGATTTAGTTCCACCGCATCCACAAAGAGGGATCACTGATGGTTTGGCCTTGGCTTGGCAAAGAGCCGCAAATGGGTCCTTCTCCAAAAATGCATTGAGGTTAGGTGGAAAGCATTGGTAGCTCTTGTAACTTGTGGATGCTTCATCCACCTTGACCTCGTCCTCATCTTGGACACCATTTGATCCTTCTACTTCATCTTCAACCTCCCTTCATTCTTCCTCAATGTGTTCCTACCCTTGGGAACAATCAAGATCTTCCTCCTCTTTGATGCTCTCTTCCTTCTCCGTCCCATTCATGTCTTCAAGCACTGTTTGGAGGGCAAGATGCCATGCAAGATCATAGAAAGGATTCTCTTTCTCCTCCATACTCCTGACTTGGTCTTCAAATTTGCTCTCGGGAAGGGTGTGAAAGTCATCAATGCAACCCTCTTGTTCATCCTCACTATGGGAACTCTCCGGGGTGAGTTCATCTTGCTCCACACGGTTGTCATTGATCGCTCCTTCAACCTCCTCTTTCTCCTCCAATGATGAGAGGCGATAGCTTGCACAAGATCGTGCCACCTTATCCTCTAGTGTCAAATTGGGAGGAAGGAGGGGTTGGAAATCCATCTTGGAGCTTGTTCTTTTAAAATTCTCCATGGCAAGCTCCAACTTGGACTTCGCTTCGGGTTGTGGGAGATCCAAGTTCGAGCACCCTTCATCGGTGCCCCGAGCAAACCGCTCCACCATGAGCTCGAATTGGCTCTTTGTCTCCGGTTGTGGAGTGGCAAATGTTCTTGAGGATTGTCCCATGAAAGTTTCCATTGCCAACTCCAACTTGGATTTCTCCTCGACTTGTGGAGGGAAATCTTCTTTATATGGGGGAGCCTCTTCATATCCCCATTGGTGTGGTTCTTGTTCTTGGAAGGGAGGTTGATAATAGAACCCGGATCCTTGACTTCCACCACTTTGATCGTCTCATGAAGCTCCGAGGTATCCACTCTCAGGTGGTGGTGGATACCCCCCACACTTGGGTGAAATCATAAGGGTCCATGATTCAAAACCTACAAACAACAAAAACACAAAAAATAAAAATCAAACAAACATAAACCACCCTTCAAAGCGAAGAGTGGGTCAACAAACACAACACAAAACGGCTAAAGTAACGACATAACCCTTTTTCAAATAACCTAGAATGGTTCCCTGGCAACGGCGCCAAAAACTTGACTCATTCTAACTACAACATCCCGATCGACAGGAAAGTATAATCGCTGACTGGGTGTAGCATAGGGCAAGCAAGCAATAAGAATTTATCGTACCACGGGGATCTAGGCTTACCCTACTTCAGGTTTAGGGTTTGTTATCTAGCCAACCTAGGATAGTGATTAATACAACTAAACTAACTAACCTAGACTAACCACTAATCCTAGCTATTTACAAGGTTGGGGAGTTCTCTTGGGTTAAATCCTCCTATTTCTGACCTTTTGATTGATGTTGAGTACCATCCTACCTCGATCCACCCATTATCCTACCGTTAGGAAATGAACTCCCTCGGACGGACCGAGAACGGTGAAGTGATGGATGGGTAGGATCTCTATTCAACCTAGGGCACCCCTATATCGTAGGAGATCGATCCAATCGACTCCCTCGAGGATTACTCGGACGATATGGGGTGATGAGTTCTTTCCCTCCTAGGTCAAAAGCTCGATTGACTCAAGTACTCTACCGTTAGGAGATACACTCCCTCGGGAATGACCCGGAACGGCAAATCGATGAATGTGGTAGGCTCTATTCAACTTAGGGCAATCCTATATCGTAGGAGACTGATGGTATCGATTCCCTCGGGGATTACCCTGACGATATAGGGTGAGAAGTGACCCGAAGATGCCAATAATGGGCTCTAAGGGGATTTTCTCCCTCTTAGGTCAAAAGCTCAATACATGAAAATGGAAACCCAACTCATGTCATTCATGAAAACATCCTTCAATTAAGTAGAATCATCAATCAAACATGGAATGTGTCACATACATCAACATTAAACTCAAATCTAGCCCTATGGTTCTTAAACCAAGAGAAGAGGGTTAGTTTTTAGAGAGAGAAGAGAGAAATTACAAATTGGAGCCCACGATCTTCTTCTTCTAGGCTTGAATCCTTGTCTCCAAGATCTACCAAGCCTCCAATTAACCTCCAAGATCACTCAAGCACACACACTCTCTCTCTCTCTCACTAGAACTCCCCTTTGGTGTTTTGGGTTGAAACCCTAGAGAGAGAATCGAATCCCTCTCCAAAAACCGGGTCTCTTTTCTCTCTCCCAGCTGTTGTCTTTATATTTGCCCAACAGGGCCCAGTTCACAGTCTTAGACCTCAGTTCACGGCCGCATTGATCAGTTCATGGTCTTAGAGACAGTGGACTGATGACTTCACGGTTTGGGGGTTCAGTACACGGTCTCTAAGACCGTGAACTGACTTGAAGCCATTAACTTGTAGAACCATGCTGGAAATAGGTCACTTCACGGTTTGGGCTTTCAGTTCACGGTCTTGAGACCGTGAACTGAAGCTCCAGCCCGTGAACAGGGCTCAACCTCCACTTTTTGGCTCGTTTTGACCTCCGAATGACCCAAAACTCGTCCCGGACCTTCCCACATCTGCTAGGACCTGAAATGTAACAAAACAAGCACAACCTAGCGTAAAATAGGTCTAGGGACGGTGATCTACTAAGCATAACGAATAAGAAATGAGGGGTAAAATGTGTACATTTGGACCCAAGTCACTCCCCCACACTTAGACATTTGCTTGTCCCCAAGCAAACCAAGTACAAAACAAGGTAAGCTTACAACTTCTTTTTCAACAAAATTTTTTGGGAATGTATAGGGCACAAAACAAATGAATCACAATGGTTATTTGACACCGACCTACGGAGAAAAACAAAGTAATCATGGCAACCACCACAAACGACATTCAAATGTATTAAGATTGTGCAAATGAAGAGTTCTCACATTATTCATCAACCAACACACATGCCTCGACGACTCATCAATCACAGTCACTCATGCATTAAGATCACATCATTGGAACAAACGATGGAGCAACCTAGGTCCTCACTGGGGTATAAGAAATGAACAAAACATGATGAATGAATCACTCACTCTCGACTAGTGAGGTCAGGACCATTAGATGGAAAAGATGTGCATATTCACGCTGTAGACACCAAATTTTGTCCGGATCTTAGCCTTGTAGACATCAAAATTCATCAACCGTCTAAAATTGTATAAGGGTATGTTCGAAGTCAAAATTGCTTGTAGATGATGGCCAAATTAAGTACGTCACAATTTGGGTTCAGGTGTTGTATTACAGAACGTGGCCAATATTAGGAGCCAAGGTTGAGAAGACATCATTAGTGAATTTGGAATTTAGGTACAATCGACATTACAAGATCGAATATCAAATAAAATTTGTCTTCAATTTGAAGAATCCAAACTTGGCCCATCACTTTGAAGGCCAAACCAGCAAATGATCTGCAAAATAAAAGAAAGAAGATCAGCAAATAAAGCCCAAAATCATAGCACAGTTCGGCCCCACGTTCAAGACTAGATCGAGCCCAGTACCGGCCCACACAAATTCAAGACAGGCCCAACTCGGCCCAATCTTATCCAAGCAGCTAGTCAGCACCGACTTTTGTAGGTGGAGGCCAATCAGAAAGAGGCACCGCAGTTTCAACCTCAACAACGACCAATCAACAAGTGACACGTTGCGCATTCCTTTTGGTATAAATGAGCTCTTTGGGACTCATTGTTGAGGGGACAGATTAGAGAGGGAAGAAACACAACAAAAATAATTTCATTTTTTTGGATACGTAGTTCAGTAGAGAGATTAGCAAAGATAGAAGGGTGCAATAAGGCAGAGAGCTAGGAGCCATCACCATCAAACATCGGAAACCAGGTTGGCACTTGTACACTTCTACTTTGTACTAATAAATCTCGTTTTGTTCAAGTTTCTTCATTGTTACAACGTAAAATCTCATATTTTTCAAGCTTATTTTTTAATGCCCCGACTCCTTTTCCTATTACTCCATAGTTATTAGGCTGAGTCCAATGCAGCCTGCATTTATGGGGTTGTCGCCATTAATGCCGATTTTGGAGTTCCAACGCAGAGAAATAAATGCAAAAAATCGGCAATTATGGAGGCGATCGGCAATTGGATCGCTATATATGGAGGAGGGTTTGCCGATTTCGGCATTTATGGAGGAGGAGATGTCTGCTGCGCCGCACAACCGCCGGGGCTAGGCGGCTGTGCCGCCAGCTGCTCTTTTTTTTTAAATTATTGTTTAGTTATTTAAGGTATTTAATTAAGGAATTTGATTAAGAGAATTATTGAATGTAATTAATTAGGGGAAGGGGAATTAAATTGAATTAATTAGGGGAAGGGGAATTAAATTTATATTTGTATTTAGGCTTTTTAGATTGTATTTAATTTTTGTTTAATATTTGTGTATTTAGGCTTTTTTCTAAGATGACTTAAATTGAATTCATTTTATTTAAAATTTATGTTTATCATCTTTAAGTTGTGTGTAAACAAAAATTAGATCGAACTAAGAATGGAAATTATATTATGGAAATGAAAATGTGTTCGTAAATTACAAAATAAATTGTCACCAACTAAAACTTTAATTGAATTACAAAGCATCACAGCATCGATACCAAGCAACAACAATGACTAATTATTCCCATGCAAGTTCCAAATATGTTCGACTAAGTCCCGACAAAGCACATGATGTGTTGGTGCAGCACGAACCCTATTATTCCTAGCTAAGTACTCAGTTAGGGTTGGAATATCTCTATCGACATTAGTTGGTTGTTGATCGTGGACCTCATAATCAAGATTATCTTCCATCTTATCGTCAGAATCAACCTGCTCATCCTCGATTATCATGTTGTGCAATATAATGCATGTCAACATTATATCATTAATTGTTGCAATATCCCAAGATCTTGCAGGGCCATGAACGATTGCCCATCTAGCTTGAAGAATTCCAAAGGCCCGCTCTACGTCTTTACGATGTGCTTCTTGACATCGAGCAAACAAGGCTTCTTTGTTTGAGCTTGGATTGCTGAATGTTTTCACTAAAGTTGACCACGAAGGATAAATACCATCAGCCAAATAATAACATTGATCATAGGTATGACCGTTTACCTCAAATCGTACTCGTGGGGTGGATCCGTTGAGGACACCGTCAAACACTGGAGACATCCCTAGAACATTGATGTCGTTATTCGACCCAGGCGGTCCGAAGAAAGCATGCCATATCCAGGTGTTGTACGAAGCCACTGCCTCGAGAATTATTGTTGGTTTACGGTTGTGCCCCAGGTACTGCCCAGTCCAAGAAGTAGGACAGTTCTTCCACTCCCAGTGCATGCAATCAATTGATCCAATCATACCAGGGAATCCACGTTGTGAGGCTTTATGAAGTAGAATCCTTAGATCAGCAGGAGTTGGTGCACGAAGATATGTCGATGAGTACATCCCGACAATGGCTCTGCAAAACTTCCTGAAGACTTCAAGCACAGTGCTCTTACCCATACGCATGTAGTCATCAAGTTGATCAGCTGGAGATCCATAAGCTAGCATGCGGAGTGCACTAGTAAGCTTTTGCTCCGGCGATAGGCCTAGGTGACCAACGGCATCACTCCTTCGTGCAAAAGAGGGATCATACCTCACAACGTCACCCATTATGCGATTGAATAGTCGTGGTTGCATACGAAAACGCCTTCTGAATATGCGGGCATCGTATGTTGGATTTGGATTGAAGTAATCCTACATAAGACGGTCATGACCTGAGACCCTTTCAAGATCAATGTAGGTGCGATTTGTTGAACGACGACGTGAGCGTGAAGCTTCCTCAAGCCTCTGCCCGATTAAAGTCAAACGATGATAGTTAAACAGATTCAACTCTTCTATCTCTTGTTCTCCTCCAGACGATGAGTAATCTGAGGAACTCATTATGGATGTGTTTGTTTTAGAAATGGGAGGAAGTTTCAGACAAGTATACAATTGATGGTAAATGGGGGATTTGCATTTATATTCGAACATGTGCTACCTACCAACCTTACCTAACGGTCATATCCGAACATGTGCTACCTACCAACCTTACATAACGGTCATATTCGAACATGTGCTACCTACCAACCTTACCTAACGTTTATATCCGAACGGTCATAACCTAACGGTCATAAATTCTCTATATATTCAGACATCCTCTCCTCTCTCTCTACCATTCATTCTTATTGAAATTTTCTGTTAGTCCCCTCATTCTTTCTATCATCTTTGTCTCTCTAAAAACCAAACAATGACAAGCAAGAGAAAAGGGAATTGGACAGTGGAGGAAGATAAGAACTTGTGCAGTTCTTGGGTGATGATATCGGAAGATGGACCTGTGGGTGTCAATCAAAGGGATACAAGGTTCTGGGATAGAGTGGCGGCGCAATTTCGGTCGAACGATCGAAACACATCTCGTACTATCAAAAGCATGGCTAATCGAATGGGCACAATCACCAAATACGGCAAGTGTTGGAATTCAGCTATCCAAAGGGCAGAGAGGAATCAACCAAGTGGCACGAATCAAATGGATGTGGTATGAATTCTCCATCACCATCACTGTTATTTTTTACCTCATTCATTAGTACGTGTGTTCTATTTTCTAACTCCTTTTCCATCTCATTCATTTATACGTATAGGAGCATATGGCAGAACAACTCTATTTAAGCGAGACCGGAGAAAAGGGGTGGAATTTTGGTCATTGTTGGTGGATCTTGAAAAGATGCCAAAAATTTCATACAGTGATAATAATGCCATCTTCAAATCAAAGCCGCATGAGTCAAGGTTCTGATGGTTCTCCCATGGGTCTTGGTTATCAATCAACACCACAGACAGACCTCAATGACACAGAAGGAGACGAAGAAACTCCACCATTCATCGGAGAAACTCCACCGTTCGTCGAAGAAACTCCACCATTCATCATATCTCGCCCTGCTGGACGCGACAAACAGAAGGCAGCTAAGAAGAAAGGAAAGGGGGTTGCCGAGTCATCAGAGAGCTACACTGCTCAATTGCTGGAGTATAGAAGTGAATTGAAGGAGAGGCATGTTTCGAGGACTGAGTATGAGCGAAGAAGGATGGAATTCCAAGAACAAAAATCAAAGCGTGACCAAGAAAAGTGGGAACTTGAGAAAAAAGAGAGGGAAGCAGCACTATTTCGGAACAATCTTGATCTTATTGAAAAGGACTTGTCGAAGTTGAAACCAAGAAAGAGGAAGTTTTACAAAAATCATCAAAACATGCTCCTAGGGTATGATCAAGATGATCCCAACTCTGTTCCCGACTATTCATCCAACGCAAGTCAAACTGGAGGTGGAGATGGAAATGGAGGAGGAGATGAAGGTGGAGGAGGAGATGAAGGTGGAGGAGATTACGGGAATTACTATTCCCTTCTGGGTGATTATTGACATGTTATGTGTGTTTCTTTTTTATCATTTCAAGTGTTGTGTGTTATTTTTAAACTTTATCATTTTCAAGTGTTGTGTGTAATATTTAAGCTTTATGATTAGCAAGTGTTGTGTGTAACCTATGAATTGTGTCATTTGAATTATTATGTCAACTCGTTAAGCTTTATCATTTTCAAGTGTTGTGTGTAAACCCAAATTAGGTCCATAATTTTTTGCTAAAAAAATTCGGTCTCGAAATTTAACAAAATTCTATCGAAAAATTTGTATTTAAAAATGATGACGAACTATACAAAAATTAACATGAACAAATTATGTTAAAGTTTCGATAAGTACATTTTTAAATAAATGGAAAAACAGGAAATATTAAGAACCCCAAATATGGAGTTTGTTGCATTGGAGCAAAAGAAGGGAAAATAGGGTTCAATCCCCAAATTTGGGGTTCAAGGCCCCCAAATTTGGGGTTTTGCATTGGACTTGGCCTTAGATCATATCATCTATGTCAACTCAATTCATTGAAGTTACCATGATCTACTTACATCAATCCACTTTCATTTGAGCACTTACTATTTTGGTCAGCACTTCAATTTACTTATCACGATCTATATACCAGTTGTACTATTTCTAGTTTACTTCTTCTACGAGAATGTATTATCTTGCTAAATTTCTGTAGTGCTTTCAAATTCTTTTTTAGCCGATAGTTGATAAGCACTCGATTATTGTATGCAAGCAAATTAAGGGAGGATTCCAACAGACAGAGGTCTATGGAAAAAGCCAAAAACATTTTTAGAAGTTCATAGATTAGTCAAGATCTATATCTGGTTCCAACAAAAATCACCCAAACACAATTAAATTCAGATTTCAGAATCCACTTTAGCGAAATTACGAGCAATGATAATGATTTAGTATAAAATCAGTACCCATTTTGGTTAAAGCCATCATGAATTAAGAATCCATATAAGGATTCATAGTTGTAGTTCCTTTGTAAACTAGTAACACAAAAACAACAATATCCCCCTAAAAATCAGATCTGTAAATCATCTCCTACCTCGCTAATCCATATAAGGATTCATAGTTGTAGTTCTTTTTTCTAGTTTTAACCTTCCTAGTTAAACAGATCTAAGTTAAGAGACCTCACCTAGCTCTACCCGCTTTCAAAACCTGCGTCAAAACAAAAGTAGAGGTTACAATCGATAAATAGGCAATAAACCAAAAAAAGTACTGAAATAAATTATCACCAACCATCGTCGGCGGAACTTTACCACCGGAGATCTTGGTGGCCATAGATTTCCTCCTCTTCACTCGATCGAAATAAAAAAAACAATATCAAAACTCAGAAACACGATAAACAACCAGTAAACAAAAAAAAAACAGAGATAAACCAAAACGAAGCCCTAAATCAGAATCGTAACATAAATAAATAAATAAATATATCAAACCTAGAAAAAACATGTATGTCGAAATACCTAGATCGACTTCCCCTTCACAGTTGACCACGGATTCTCAATCGGATTTGAGTCACCGATGGTGGATCGAGAGAACAGGAGTTCGGCGGTGAATGGAAAGGGAGAGGCTCCTCGTGTTTTCTCTTTCGTCTCAGAGGAGGTAGAGAGATTAGTAAGGAGAGAGATAGCACATTTTCTGGAAAAGAGAGAGAGAGAGAGTTTTCTGGAAAAAGAGAGAGAGACAGAGACAGGAGGAGAATAGAGATGAGAGAGAGAGGTCGCCGACGAGTTCCACCGCCCTTCGCGTCGCCGTCAACGGAGAGGCAGAGGGAATGGCGAGCGAGAGAGAAGGCAGAACGAGAAAGGTGAGGGAGGAGGCGACTAATTTTGGCTTAGCTGCAAGGTTTTCATCTTAGAGACGATTTCAAAACCCGGGGGGTCGAAATGACTGGAATACCCTTAGGGTATTGCTGAAATTACACACTCCTGCCACCATCCTTTTGTGTAATTACCAGACTGCCCTTCCATAAGAAAAAAAGGGCAGGTTGGGTTTCGAACCCATGTTCTCACACCTCTTCAACTAATTTAGTCAAGTGACTAAACCGATCAAGCTATAGGCCTATCATGCATTGAGCCAACAACCCTAAACAAATTTATTGTTAATATGCTTAAATCGAAATTAGGTTAGACCAATTTTTATCTTCTTATACATTAATCCTTTTCTTAAGAGCTCAGATTTCTATGTTTTATCGTCATCAAATCGTAATAGTCTATCTAAACTTTATGAACAAGATTCTTAATACGAAAGTCACGCTCAGTAGAACGTGATAACAAATAAATTACTATAGAAACTATCAAAGTTATAATAATTCGTTAATACGAAAAACACGATCAGTGGAACGTGATAAAAAGAGTTATATTTAAAATTCTCATAGTTTTAACGAACTTCGTGGACTTTGATCTCGTGTTACGGGTACGTAGGCAACCGATAAGGTTCAAGTCCAACTAACTAATCAACTTTATCTTTAAATTGTACGTTAGTGTGCGTATAATGAAACCTTAGGGTTTTTTTAATGGCGATAATTTATTAATGCAAACGAAAACAAAGCAAAAAACTGTACACGCAACAACAAGGAGATCAAAAGGATTGATCTCGCAAATCTGAGCAAAAGAGAAGGAAAAAACAATACAAATGCAGAATAGACCTCTGCTACTCGTCGCAAAAAATACACAATTAAATTTATCGTTAATGTACGTCAGTGGAAGTATAAATCAACCATAACTAATGAAGTAGAAATGCATTAATAGTTCAGTAGGACCGAAAAATACATAACCACTAAAATACACCCAACTCGTATAAAACTTATCGACTTAAGTAGTACTGATTTAGGGCGTTGTGGGGTGTGATTTCACTTCCCCACACGTAACCATAATCCAGAACCCATATCTCTTTATCACAGACCAAACCTCGTTTCTGACCCTAAAGTTAGAGTCTACCGAAGAGTGTTCGATCCACTCCAAGTAAGATCGATGGCGACTCCAAAAGCGAACGCGACGCGACCCCGGAGGGCGGTTGCGGCACACGCTCAATCCTAACGTTTCTTTACCATAATGGTAGACTCTAAATGCTAGAGCTCACAAGACCTACCTCCACACTCACTTCACATTCTTAGCAAAACCATACACAAATCACTCATGTGAAACCTCATCGCTCAAACGGTATGAATGGAGCTTCCAAACACAAGGGTGACTCAATACGGTGTAGACACGAAGAAAGTAAGGTCTCTCTATATAAATCAATCAAGCTCAAGTAGCTAGAGCTACCTAACATGAGAACGGCCCTCAGACACATTGCTCAAAAGGGGTGACTAGGGGATTACGAAATCGGGACAAGCCACCTTTGGGTCGTGGGCTAATCCTATACCTCCATCTTCCTTACTAGCAACAACGTGAATGCTACACATCATGTAAAGGGGGATCTATCGCACAAGAATGAAACGAACGACACAAGTCTCACATGGATACCTAGGTGCTCAATCATTCATTCTAATTCTCTAAACTCGATGCATAGGCAACTGTGAAAAGCAAGTAATCGATTCAAAACATCTATCGGTTCACAAACACATGAGAAATGAACCTATGCACAAACCTAATACAAGTCTCAATCATCATCATAGCTTGCACATAATCACAAGAAAATCATCCATAGACAATGCTAATAACCACGAGATTCAAAACAATTCAGCAATGGTGCCACTATGATCATGCTAATGTAGAAGTTTCTATGCTTGGAGACCTCAAATTTTAAAATTTTGGGCAAACAACTAGGCTCCAAGCACTCAAAATCATAACAATCATTCACACACAAGCATAATAGACTACCCCCCCCCCCACCCACCCACACACACTTAAGCTCGATATTGCCCTCAATGGCATAAAATAAGGAGGTTGAACGATGTTACCAGATAGGTTGTGAATGTTGGTGATTGGGAGCGGAGGGCGGGTGAGATCCGGAACAGCGTGGAGACGGCAAAATACCACCAAAAGCTCTCCATTGGTCGTCTTATTGAAAGGAAAATAAATGCAAACCGGTGATGGTTGGGTTGCCTCCCACCAAGCTTTTTAACGTCGTGAGCAGGAAAATTGCTCCTCGAGTCTTGGTCCACCCAAGAACCTCCTTGAAGTTGAGGTTCTCGTCGGTGAGGTGATGTCTCAAGTCACGAGCATTGGATGAATCCATGATTGAGGGCTCGAGAACTTGAGTGGCTTTGAGGCTCCACCCACGGGACCTCTCCTTCTTCCTTCTTCTCTTTTCCCCACACCATATAATGCACACTCGATTTAGTTCCACCGCATCCACCAAGAGGGATCATCGATGGTTTGGTCTTGGCTTGGCAAAGATCCGCAAACGGGTCATTATCCAAAAGTGCATCGAGGTCGGGTGGAAAGCATTGGTAGCTCTTGTAACTTGTGGATGCTTCATCCACCTCAACCTCGTCCTCATCTTCGACACCATTTTCTCCTTCTCCTTCATCTTCAACCTCCCTTCGTTCTTCCTTGATGTGTTCCTCCCCTTGGGAACAATCAAGATCTTCCTCCTCTTTGATGCTCTCTTCCTCCTCTTCAACCTCTTCCTTCTCTGTCCCATTCATATCTTCAAGCACAGTTTGGAGGGCAAGATGCCATGCAAGATCATAGAAACGATTTTCTTACTCCTCCATACTCGTGACTTGGTCTTTAAATTTGCTCTCGGGAAGGGTGTGAAAGTCATCAATACAACCCTCTTGTTCATCCTCACCATGGGAACTCTCCGCGGTGAGTTCATCTTACTCCACACGGTTGTCATTGATCGCTCCTTCAAGCTCCTCTTTCTCCTCCAATGATGAGAGGCGATAGCTTGCACAAGCTCGTGCAACCTTCTCTTCTAGTGTCAAACCGGGAAGAGGAGGGGTTGGAAATCCATCTTGGAGCTTGTTCTTTTAAAATTCTCCATGGCAAGCTCCAACTTGGACTTCGCTTCGGGTTGTGAGAGATCCAAGTTCGAGCACCCTTCGTCGGTGCCCTGAGCAAAACGCTCCACCATGAGCTCCAATAGGCTCTTTGGCTCCAGTTGTGGAGTTGCAAATGTTCTTGAGGATTGTCCCATAAAAGTATTCATTGCCAACTCCAACTTGGATTTCTCCTCGACTTGTGGAGGGAAATCTTCTTTATATGGGGAAGCCTCTTCATATCCTCATTGGTATGATTCTTGTTCTTGGAAGGGAGGCTGGTAATAGAAACCGGATCCTCGACTTCCACCACTTTGATCGTCCCATGAAGCTCTGAGGTATCCACTCTCGGGTGGTGGTGGATACCCCCACACTTGGGTGAAATCATAAGGGTCCATGATTCAAAACCTACAAACAACAAAAACACAAAAACAAAATCAAACAAACACAAACCACCCTTCGAAACGAAGAGTGGGTCAATGACAAGCCTCTACCGTCACACTAGAAAGTGGCCAAGTGTAACCACCTACTAATGCGCAGTATAGGGGGTTCAGTTCTAATTGTCAACCCGAGTCCTAGGTGTGATGACCACTCCGTGTAAGTCTTGTTATCTAGCGGTTCAAGTGTAGTGAAGGTTTAGTTAAACGAGCAAGCAAAGCAGTGAAAGTTGTGTTCAAGTTGAGAGAGGTCACCCAGATATGGTTCCCCCTAGACTACAGTTAAGCCAGGTTGTAATTTACCAAGTTCAAGTTCAATGATAGTTATACTGTGGGAGGTTCTTAAACAGTCGGCAGTTTCGACTAAAGGTCTCCAGACCCTCTCAATCTGAGTCCCCAGCGGGCGACTAACCTCCACCAGAGTAAACAGATTGAGGCCCTAAAGAACCAAACCTCCTCTATCGAAGTAAATCCGGTACAAAATAGTGAATTGACTCCTCGACTAAAGTTGTCAATTCACTACCTTCAATCAAGGGCGCTCTATCAACCTAGGCAGATACTCTCTTTCTAGGTCAAAGCAGAAATAACAGGAATTTGATCAGGATTCATGTCATTCAAGAAATCAAACCTCAATTGAATATAATCATATCACTGAATTCGTACTCGGGTTCATACAATCAGGCCTAACATACAAATCTAGGGTTCTTCATACCCAGGTGAATGAGAAAGTTACTCCATAGAGAGAGAAGGGAAATCTAGCTCAGATGCGGAAACCATACTGTGAAGGATGGGATTCTGCTTCTGGCAATCAATCAGCACTCCTCCAAGCTCAAACCGGGCTCCAATGGTGATGAAGATCGATCTAGGGCGCTTGAAGAATCAGGTTCGTCACTTTCTCTCTCTAGGTATACGCTTTGTCTCTCTAAAACTCGGAACCCTTCAAAAGTTGGCCTTCTTTCCCATAAGAATCAACAAATCACGATCCCCGATCCTAATCCCCGGTCGGGTATTTCTATTGTCCGGCCCGAGATTTTGAAACGCAACGCAGCACCAAAGGGGTTAATACCCGATCGTGGTCCAGAATACCCGGTCGGGTATTTTTGCTCTCTGGCCGGGCCCCTCCTGTTTCTCAGCGTCCAAAATCAGCTTTCCCCGGCCTCCCATTGCATTTTACCCGGCCGGGTATTTTCACTCATGGCCAGGTATTTTGCTCTTCCAGCACCCTTCTACTCCTACGTCCTCCTTTTGACCCGAAACTCGTTCCCTCGCCTTCACGTCAACGCCAAGTCCTGAAATATGACATAAACACACAACCTAGTGTGAAATCGGCTTAAAACACGAGAATCGACTCTCAAACGGCTCAAGAATAGAGGTATAAACATGTGTAATTATTTGTCTATCAGTCAACAAACACAACACGAAACACAAAACAGCTAAAGTAACGAC